TAACAGTCGAGAATTATCCCCACAGATATGCCTACATGGAAGATATGAAGCATAGATAAGTTTTTCAAATAAATCTGGCCTTTTGAACTTACAAATTACGAGAACTTTGGACGCAAAAAGGGAACAGTTAGCGGTGAAGAAAATCAACAGAAGAAATTAGCCTTCGCAATGTGTATAAAAAATAAATTCCTTCTCACCCGTGATGAATTCTTGTTATGTATTTTTAGATTGGATTATTATTATTCAATCTTACGAGGAATCTGAAAGACACAACTGTCGGAAAACCTAACTGAAGCCCGCTTACTTGGCGAAAAATTATCCGGTTCGCTTACGAAAGAAAAACGGCATCTTGTTGGGCGTTGAGTAGTGCGTGAAAATTTATTTTGTCAATGAGACCTATGGAACAAAAATTAAAGTCACCAACTTTGATGCACATGGAGTGACCTGGACACTAATCGGGGTGAGAGGAAGCCGAATCAGCAAAACTCGAAATGGTAGATGTAACGATTTGAGGGGGCGGGAGGAGCAACGGTACATGAGATGTAAATATTTGACCGAAAACTATCACAAAGATGACTCAGAGCGGGCGACTCAAACCGGAGGATATGCAATTCATCTTGGTTGTATTGAATTCAAGTGAAAGATGGAAACGTTTGCACTCGAGTGAATTGTTCAAAGCGACTCGTGGTCCAATTATTCGTCAAAATGCCAAAGCGGTCAACTCCAGGAACACCACAGTCCATACCGGAATGTACTCACATTTCACGTGGCTGAACGACTCCAACGCTTCTGTACATCAGTTACGTAGAAATTCCGGAACACGAACTATACATTTGAACAAGGTCAGAAGTCAACACAACGCCGCGCACCAGCGTCATCGACCGCTCCTCGTGTTAGAGGTAAGGTATCACGTGAACATAGTCACGGCATTCAGAAGTTTTCTCATCACCCAAAACTCTCGATTGCTCCAGTTTGCAGAGGCGATTGATATAAAACGATGGAAACCTGAACTGTGCAACCAAACAAGTTTTAAACAAACAAACACGAACGCCGCGATTTTCACCTTAAAGCTTGTGTTTTCGAGAAACCGATTAAACTGACTTGACAAAGGCCTTCCAAGAAGGTCGAAACGTTGTCACCGAAATCTTGCGTTTTGGTACTCATGTTGTGGCTAAAACAAACCTGATTCTATTGTTACCATGAGCACAACGCCCAAATTTTTCGAAATGATCCGGAACACCTATGGATTATTAACTGTTTATCAAATAAGTTTTATTTGTAAATCTAGCCTTACCTTAGTAGAAAGATGGACGAATTCAACACCAAAAGCTGAACCACGATGACTGTTACTTGTTAGTTTTCATCATATTTTTGACTGTAGTACCTGAAGAGATCCAGTGCAATTTTTCCGGAAATCACTCATGTAACACTGTGCTCCTTATTCATCAAAGACCTGTCCTCCTATGGAAGTTCATTAGTTGTAAACAAGCTGATGGTGCAGTGGTTGGGTACTCCTGTCGTAATTGTAGCTGTTTTCACGATCTTTCAATGTATCCAGCTAAGCCACACTTTGTTCGGTCAGACTTAATGTTCTCGAATGCATTGATGTTTCTTGATAACCTGAAATGCAGTATCCGTTCGCTACCTTACAGGGATAAACGATACCTTAATGTTTCCAGTTCCTCCTCTCATCCTCGACCAGAGCGACAAAATACCTCGGAATCGCCGTTCTTCACAATCATTCTTGGTTCCATGACATAAATAATGACTTTTATTAAAGTTCGTCAACTGCCATTTTATGCAATCGGATTGGGAAAGCCTGGAGCACCCCATTGTTTGCCCCATAAATTCGTGGTAAAGTGGTTAAGTCACCAAATTGTGATCCGGAAGTCCCGGGTTCGAACTGCTCCACCTTTCCAATTTGTATTTCTCCAGGCAGCCCTCTTCCTGAAATTTGACTATACATTTGTATATTCACTAAACAAAAAGGAATGAAAAAGATATTTATTATTTATTGAATGGTTCCTCCCCGCTGGCTGGACACCCCTCCTCTTTTTTCCACCTGACCTGTACAAAAACGAGTTCACTTCTGGTTTCTCGGTCTTCAAAATTTNCCAGAGTCAGCCAGGCTTGAGTTTATCGTAAATAAACACTTTGAAGTACGTGACCAGTTTTTATAGAAGACCGTTGTCTAGCCACGAATATTTACTCCAGGAAAGCTATCTACTAAAAACATTCAATCCTAAAGTAGACTTCTTCCTTCAACCACATGCACTGACAAAAATAACTCGTTTTCAGCTTCGATGCATTTTGATAAATCGTTCAGCAATTTACGATAAACTGAAGGTTCACCTATCTCAAACCCCCGAGATGTTCTTCCGCATACAATTATCTACCGTTACTAACTCGGTTTAAACTTGGTGTTCGTTTTCATATCCCTATCGTCCCGGTCTCCTACTGAACATTTATCCGTTTCGGAGACATAAAGATCATTCTAAATTGGTTTGATTATGGGAAAAACCATTTCAGTCCGTATCTTTTCCCATCAAAATTTAGCCACAACCAGCGTAGTCCTTTAGTATTAGTGTGGTTATCATCTCCGGCCCGTAAATGTATCCACATCTCAAGGACAAAATTCACTTTAGTTGGAGATACGGAACGAGAAGCATTCACTTTTTTGTGGTACTACTTTTGGACTTATTTCCGGGGTTTTTGAATGCAAAGCAATGCACTCGTTTGTCACAATTGAGATTTTTACTCGCAGGTGTATCGCATGTTATACGGAAACACTGAAGCCGTACGAGATGTGTCAAATGACCTGCAGATTCGGGTACATCGTTTAAAACTTCTTTCTACTTTGGAGAAACTGAACCAAACTTCCATGTGACTGACTAGACAGGACGAAGTGTGTGAAGTATGCAAAATGGCCTGAATCTCGTCTGATTGCCAGTTCCCTAAGGCATTTTTGCAGACTGATAACTCATGGTCTGACACAGTTAATCATTTAACGATGTTTTTTGTTAGTTACTTCACAATCGTGCCAGAATGAGGGGACAGGTTGTTCGAAGTGGGTGCCAAACAGGCCGAATTCAAACGCTCACGAGGAATCTTTAACGGTGAGATTACGAGCCCGCGGTAAAGTATGACTGGAAAAAAAGTTGTTGCTCTTTGTAAAGCATTTTTCTTCATTTCTCCCATTTTACTTAATATCCCGTTTGCATTCAAATTGTTGTTACATAGTTCACCTAGGGGGAGTTGGCCAAAAAACTCTGATTCCAAACCAACCAATAGAAGGCGCACGAAACAACACACCCACACCTTTTCGGTTGTGGCAGTGGGCACCGGCTCAGTTGGGCACCTTGGACGCTTGACCCCGTCCAAAAAGCGTATGATCTGATGAACTGGACACCGAATCCCAATGGACTGCCGTTTTCATACCGCCCCGCTGCCTTGCGGGTTAGGCTTTGGCTAGTCGAAGGCTCCGGTTGTGGATTCCTCAAGAAAATTCACCTGCTTGGCCAGTACAACCTGGCAGTATTCCACTCACAAGCCAATCATGGAGCGTTTTTCTTTTTTAGAAAGATTATTGTACCATGATTTGCTTGGCACACAGTCTGTCCTCAGACAAGTGCGAAATATAATAATAATAATAAACCACGTTTGTTCGACACGAATGTCTCCTTTGCAACACCGGGTATATCTGTGCGGACAGCTATTTTAAAACCAGTCCACTGATGAATCGGTACTATGATTCAATGTATTTTTGTGTAGGTAGGTTGTATGCTACTAAACGCAAGAAACGCCAAGTAGGCGTCTTCATAGAATATTTTACACTAAGTAGTATATGAATGACTCGACAATCGACTTGTTCTGAAAAAGCTGTCCAAACAAATTCAGCCGTTGTTGCAAATGAGATATTTGTGTCAAAAATAAAACTCCCCGGTACAATTGCATGAATGAACTGACAAAAGATTACCCGATAGGCATAACTGACGAGCGGCAATAATCGCGAAACCGGTCGTGTGAGTCCAGGGAAATTTTGTCGAGTCATTTACACACTATGTATTGTAGCATGTACATAAATCACGAGTAAAATTCATGAAAGGATGTTAGTTTCGGATATCTGAATAATTGAAGGGAACTCCGAGCGCTACGGGGAAAGCCTCACTCAAAACTCTCGTGAACAGTTCACGTGGAACGAATCACCTACCATTCCGAGACCGTTTTTCCATCATCGGAAAAAGGCCATTAATTTCTCACACCGCCTACATGATTTGTGACTCATGTTTCAATTTTGTTCGCGTTAGGTGGCCGAATTGTGTCCGTGATCGTATGCGTCGCTGTTCTATTGAAAAAATCTAAGGAAAAGTATGGTAAACTGACCATATTTTTGAAAATTACGCGTCACGTACTGATGGCTAATGCATGCGTATACATAGACAGCATAAAAAAGTCATCGCGGGTAAAGACAAACACGATGATCTGAATTAGCCCTAGAAAGCTGTGTGAGTGAGTGAGAGGTCACAGTTGGACAGTTCAAAGTCTCAAAAGAATACTTATTATTGGTTCGGTTATTTGATTATACACAATTGTGTACGCTGTTGNGGGCAGGGGCACATAAACACAAAACCAAAGAATCCGTCCATGCAGGAGATATTCAAATAAACGTTCCAAACGTTCCGGAAACTAGTATGCACCCGAAGATCAGGCACAAGTTTTCTTGTGTTTATGCCAAAGATTGAAAATGGGTATTCTTCAAGTGAGGAATGAAGATCGGTTCGAAGAGACCGCAATGGAATTTTTTTCAAAAGAATTTATCCGTCATAGAAGGTACCAGTTATGGTGATGATCTTACTCGTGTATTCAGTAGGCACGTGATCTGGAAGACACCCAAGGAATGGGATCGAACCAGGAGTCAGGAAAGAACAAGACAAGGAAGAAACAGGTAGAGATAATCAAGAGTAAGTTTGCTGATAAACCCCGTCTGCATGACAGGTAAGTCATGTGATCACAGATACATTGATATTCGTGAGGGCGAAGGTCATGACTGAGTAGGGGATCAATGTCATCAGAATTCCTGAAACCGAAGAAGAAACAATCCAATGTGTGTGTGGGGGGGGGCAACAGATTGTCCGTATCATGTAGGTCTCGGTTCACTGTCTGAAATGAAGAGAAAACAGACAATTCCATTTGGATTCCGAATTGATTGTCATGGGAGGAAACGAGTTGGTTAGGAAAAACGGATGGAGAATTGCACAATACCGAGTGTTTGGCAGTGGAAAAAAAATCACACGAAAAAGCGAAAAATCAGATATTGTTCACAAATGCTAGGAAACGTGTTGGACAAGTGACTATCAGGCATTTTCCGAAACCTAGGTCACTGTTTCATTATGAGAAATGCTCACAAGCGGTTCCTTTTCTTGTCCCATAGGATTTTCCGCACAAATGGATCGAGTTTTGGTTCATAGAAAGATGAGGAATGTCACAAATTATCTTGATTTTGTACACTGCTACGGATGTCGAAATTTAGGCCTCGTCAAAGTTGCATCCACTTTGTACTTGCAAGAATCAATTATGGGCGCACAAAAACAATGTGGAGTGATAAAGAACTCCAAATAGTACATATACACACTCTGAGCGCAAATGAATGATGCCGCCGGCATTTTATGGTCGACCGTTTTGGAGCACTAATTTGAATGAGATCCCTTTGGAGTGAGTGTTTACACGCAGAGTAGTATCATCCATTTCTCTTCTCAGGCCAGCGCCTCGCATGCACCAGTTTTTACATGCTACCATCGAAGTTAGCATGCACCAGTTTTTACATGCTACCATCGAAGTTAGCCCAATCTCGCCTCACAACGGTATACGGTTGTCAGTTCTGAAGCAAGAACTCAACAAATCAGTCCAAATTGTGTTATCGTGGACAACAACAACTATGTTCTGCATCCCATACCCCCATTCCGTTATTGTTATTATTGTTGTGGCATTGGGATCACGTTTATCCGCAAGCCAGTGTTAAGTATATATATATAGGTTTCACTCGGCGCTCACCACTATACAATA